ACAACAACATTCGAGTACATTTCCAAGCACTTTTAGTACACAAGATCAAAGGCTCGGCCTGAATTCTCGGGAAATATCATCGTGCGAGAAAGGTGTGGTGATCGTGGTAATAGCTGTTCAATCTGGAATAGTCGGGGTTGTGGGTGTGACATGAACCTGAATGTAAAGGCACATTTAAATAATGATTTATCCAAATTTAATTTCATTGTAACCGAAACTTTATACTCACACCACAGTCCTTAACTTTGTTCCCTATAGCCAATGCATCTACACGCACAGTATTTCATATTGGGAATGATGTAGAGTGTTTTAAATTGTTCTATTGTCGACTTACAATCACCCCCACCGTAATAGCGGGAAAATTATGGAATCACTTGTAAAACAATCATGACATGAGCGCAGTGCTTCGTCGCATAGAATTAGCCTGTTTAGCCTGTTTGGTTCTTTTGCAGGTTCGCAAGTTCCGAATTCCGAATCAGGAATTAAAGAGCGCTCATATACATATCTATGCATTTTATCACTGACATCAATTGCTCCCTTCCTATCCCTATACTGGTAAATTCGGGGTTTATCCTTCAATATACCAATGCGATGAAAAACAAATGTAAGACCTTAATCGGGCAATTCTTATCTCAGTGTCATTCATTCAAAGAAATTCCACACCCAGTGTACTACCCATGTCTGGTGGCTGTATCCCTTGCATATTACTCGGGCTATAACATAATAAGCTACACATTATTACTTGGCCAAGACCATCGAATTTCGGTCAAGCCTAGAAACGGACGTTCTCGGATGATAGGTGAAATCACAGATTAAAACTGACCCCAAATCCACGGCAAAATAGACCCCTCAATTTACGGTAACCATGCGATCATTTTCGGCTTCCAATGCTCTGTGAAAGGAGACATGACATTTTGTGCAGTGTAAACAAGGATGTGAAACTGACTGACGTCACCAGCTAGGAAAGTCATCACGTGGGGTGAGCTTCCGCAAGTTGTCTGCGCTTGGTGTGCGCGCGTGCAGGCCACGGTCCCGGCCTAGAGCCCAAGGCATGCAGCACACAGCCTGGGAAGAGTCAGCGGATCAGTCGATCAGGAGTAATGCACGCTCCGAGTGCGTCGGTGGTGCTACGTGAAGCTTGTGGGGATTAGCGGTGGACCACGCTCCGGACCGTGCGTCCGTGTTGGTCAAGTGCTCCGGTTCGCACGTAACCACCGCGAGAGCCGAGCATCCAGGAATTTATGTATCGCTGCGTATTGTTTCGTCCAAAGTTGCCGTGGTTAGCCCGGTCGACAGGGAGCAAAAACGCCATGAGGTGGTACGTAAAGTTCTCGTCACTCGCCCGCTTGTTGTGGATATTTGCTGTGCTGCACGTAGCGCCTGCTTATGGTGTTCAAAGCGGTGAGTAATCGAGTAATGTGACTTCAAAGGTAACAAGCCTGACAAAAACATCGTTTTGAGCCTGTACTTAAATACCCCCCGGCATGCATGCATGCAGTTATTCGTTAATTTGTCCCAAGAGGCCTTTCGACGAACGAGCTGCGTCATTGCACAACAGTTTGCATGCCAGTCGTCAAAGGAGTGTTTGTGCATGTCTGTTCTGAGAATCAAAAGCTTATTTCTGAAAACAGCTATCTGCACAAGCAACATTTCCAAGAATGGCAACAATGCATCGTCTAAATATCATTTTCTTTCATGGTGACATGGCGACAATTTGTTAAGGCGGCTTGTTATTGCGCCAGTACCAGTTAAGCCTGAAAAATCCCATAAAACTGTGCAGTAAACCAACCAGCTATGGAACCAGCTATGTTATGGAAAGGCTGATAGGTCACATTCAGTATCCCTAAACACATTTAGGACGAGCACATTGAGACAAGTCATCACATAGTCGAGTAACACACCGAACGACTTATACTCAATGCGATATGCATTCAGCAAAAAATGAAGAAACTAAACGTGTTGTTGATGCTAGTTACTCTTTCGCTGAACGAGGTCAAGGCACTTTACTGAATGAGTAACAAATGCATGATGGGTAATGTTGGAAGGATTATCTCTACAAGTCAAAATGCATAATACATGTATGCAGTAATGAAGGAAGGCTTGTACTGGATATTGGCCACACGGTCAAAAATCCACAATGAGCATGTCCACAAAGCTTCATTGGTAAGAGATCCAAGGATGAAAACGGGCGAAAGGCTTTAAACTTAAAAATCGAACCAGAATCCATGCGTCTCAAGTTCTATTCATATTTTTTCCAGCAACCTTAAGCTCTATACAACCTTGTTTCCAGGATATGTGGCCTCAGTTTCCGACTGTTGTTTTGACAAGCCTACATGCTAAACTGACCTGAACGGAACTCAGTGTTTACTTACGACTCTAAAGAGTGAAGACTTTTTTTGTCTTCTCGGATGGAAACGGAGTGCTGTTGATTGGACAGGATTGGCTCTGCTTCCATGCCACCGTTTGCGGGAGGCGTGTTTCGTTAGTACGCAGAAGTCTTGGGGTGCACTTTCTTATGGGAAAATGATTCCTTAAAGGAGACTGGCCTTCATACCTTTATCAGACCTCATTACCTTTTGAAAAAAATCCTCCAGAGCCTCGATTACAGCCATTATTCAAGTCAGATCTTCCCAGTATGCTGTGTTAAAATTTATAATTGCAGAAGGGTTTTGTCAACAGTTTTGTTTATTTTTTACATTGTGAAATTGCATTTATGGCTCGCTTACAGGCTAGGCCTAGGCGGCAGTCTAGCAAAATATTAGTTGACTGTTTTCTAATGAATACCAGCAAAAATGGCACGAAACGTGAACTGTTTTAAAGCCCCCTTCAGCTAACATCGCCTCGTGTGCCGTTTATGCGTCAATTAAGTGTCACGTGCTCATATAGGAACAGCCTAAGGGTCTCACCCTTGCGGCCCGACAACAAGCAAGACTTAAAAAGTCCTGCCACAGCACACATCTCAAAATTAATAATCGCAAAAAAGCCGGGCCCACATCTAGAAAGTTTCCCCCTTATTTACCAACCCTTTCAGCCCTCTACACAGGGGGGGGGCACGATCCTCCTCGCAGCCTCGCCAAGGACACGATATGCGAAATTATTCATTGGCAATCATTTATTATTAATGATTATTTAAGTGGTATTCCTGAGAGAGCGAGGCAAAATTATGAGGGAAAGAAATTTTAACATAAAAAAAGAACCGGAATAATTTAAGCGGTAATGCTGATGACGGCTCTCGAACACTTGCGAACGGAAATGTAATTCTGAAAAATTTGTGTCTCGGCGCACAATGACATTATTTTAACACCGGCAGCATACTAAATATCTGGCTTGCATCCAACAAAGTGCGCTATCTCTTGAGACCATTAAGACAAAATATGGTGTCACAAAAAGTGTATTGGTTTCCGGCTGATTACGGGGGCTCGAGCTCTGTGAAATTCATCGGCAATAAATAATATCATAAAGTGGTGTCAGCATTTCCATTAACAGTTTAAGATATGCGTTTATCATTCAGGGTGAAAGAAAAATTGTTGTCATGTCAAGTTTACGTAGTGGTAGGTCCCCGACACATACACATATGCCGGTAGGCCTAGGGGAACTAGGGTCAAAAAAATGCAGATCCCTCTGTAGAATGCTATTTTAAAAGACAAAACTGCCTTTTCATGTAACTTGAAGTCATTGCAAGGTCACGGCATTGTATGTACTTTGGCCGTATTTAAGTAGAATAACCCTTTTTGAAACACCCTTAAAAAGGATGTAATGATTTAAAATGTTTAAAATTCGCGTCGTAATAATCGAAAGTAGCGGTGCAATCTCGTATTGTATAAGGTTTGCTTAAATACCTCGACGTGTTTTATCCACTGTTTAAGTTGGATTTTGCTTTAATTTTGAAATTGATTTGTAACAAAATATCTTATCCAGAATTTCCCCTCATGTAGCATTTTTTTAACCAGTTTCAAATGCTACGACCACCAGTTGTCGGCAATTTCGATGCCGATTCGTTGATTTAATGATGCACATGCTTTAAAACGCTGAATAATCAAAAGTGCACGCTTTTCAACACAATGAACTGCCTGCTAATTTGACTCTGTACCAATTGGACGAAACGAAATTTACGCAGAAACATGCTATGTTTCCGCATTATCGCGTTCAAAATCAACAGAGTGAGTGTGAGTACGTTCTTGCCTGTTACAATATTTCTTTTCAAAGTTGTCAGGAGCGAAGTCCAACACGGCCTTATCAAACTTTCTCTCAGCATAGCTTTCTTGTTTGAAATCATCAAGCAGGGGAAACACGGGAAATTGAAGGCCCCCAGGATATGTAAAATCGTGTTTGGAATGGATGGATATTTGGGAGTAAAAGTGCATTACGGTTATTCGTAATATCCCGCACAAAATAAGCCTGCGAATGATGCAGCGACAGCATTGGCACTCAAACCCTTGGCGCCAGCAAGACAAAACTTGTGGTTATCTGTCTCCTGGTAACCATTAGTAAGGCTAAGAATAAACGCGCGCGGGTCTGGGGCCGTCTGGGGATTCGAAGGAAATAGGCAATTTGGAGGCAGAAAAAACTTGGTGTTTCCGGGTCGTGTTTCCTGCATCGTTATGCCCCAGTGTCTCACTGTGATAGGGAAGGATTTAGGAGCCAGTAGTTCTGTCAAAATGATAGCGGATGTACGCCAAGCTGCGGAACAATAATTAGAGGTAAAACAATGGGAATTTTTTTTTGCATCTGTGGTGTGCGGATTTCTCTGATTAAAATTAATACACTCTTGCCGACTTGTGTAAGCGACTGTCGCTAATATGGGTAATTACTTGTAGGCTTACATGTTTGCTTGTAAGCATGCTTTATACGAAGAAGGTTTGCTTTTAGCTTGTCGGATTTTTCTTGCTATCCAGACTCGTAGCTGCAGCCGAGTCGCGCACAGCGTCTCACAGGTACCGTGTGCGGTTGTTCCAGCAGTGACTGTTTGGTGTCTAAAATGTCATCACGGCTGCTGTGAAATGACGACCACATATTTGTCGTGAGTTCATAGGAAGTGAGAGGGAGTGATAGGGATAGTTTTGCTTCCCAACTCTTGATGGTTTCACCTTGTTGACAGATGATATATACACGGCAACAACACGAGTCCACTTGTTCCAGGGGTGGCACAGACGCCCTGAAGAAGCTCGTGTTTGTTTCAAAATTCGAATGCTTCCTGAAGAATATGTAGACATTCTCTCTAGAGATATCACTGAATCCCTTTGGAGATTGGTACCAACTACTGAAATTCAAAAGTCTGTTAGATAACCATCAAGTTCATTCTAATTTATCTTTCTGTGAATTTCTCTTCATAATGTTGCCGTCTAGACAGACTTCATAGAAAGTGCACCAAGGGTGAGCAAGTAGCCGCTTTTCATTAGGAAACGAGGAGTTCATTGTATGGTTAGACCTCAGTCTGAATCCATGATATTTGTCTGTGAGGTAGAACTGAGATGTTCAAACGTTCTCGTCGACCCCAGCTTTTTGATACTTTAACACGTCGACTCACGACAGGTTTTGCCTACTTAAATCGTCTTCATACTGAGAGTTTGTGGATGCACGGTGACATTTCTCCACCATTCGTTAACTCTGTGGACCATTGTGTGGTGCATTGTTAATATTTTGAAGACTTTAAGGTCGAGTTCGGGCGGCCTGTTCTTGACACGGGTTTCTTGTTCTCGCGCTCGAACGGCGGGAACACGACTCAAGAACACTGTTCTCGGAACAGGATCACACACCACCTCCTCGTCGGGGTTTTACAGGAACACACGGAAAAACTCGTGAGATTTTGATTTTTGAACAGCCGCAAAAAGTAGAGAGATGGCTTCCAAAGCCATAGACAATGGGAAGTTTTGCAAAATTAACATTAATTATTTTCCGTAACACAGAAATGAATGTTCCTGCTTATATAGAAAAGAATTCAGCCCATCCAAACATTAACTCTCGAATAACGTAGCCTACAGGGACGCCTCCATGTTGCATGTTGCTTGTCACTAACTACCAGCGATAACCGGTTGTTTGTTCCCGGCATTCGAGCGGCCGACCCACGAACAACAAATCGAGCTGTTCGTGAACATACGGGAACAAGCCGCCCGAACCTAAAAGTCATATCACGCTATATGGTTTGCACGAGCGGTGTAATGCGTCGCTGTTCCAGATGGAAATAAACCAACCAACAGTAATAATACATAAAATTTATGTATTTAAGCCAGTTTGCAGGCATGAAACAGCGAATGTTGCCCTTCATCGAAGCCCTCCACACTGAGGACGTGGCGCGATTTTGTACATACTCTCCGCCGGAACTGCACGTGTCACCCTTGGCGCAGAGGTTAACGGGGTAGAGAAGGAAGCCCTGTCTGTGCCGGTCAGCCCTACTTTAGATATGGCCTGTCTACAGGAAGAAGAAACAGGATCGGTGAGCCAAGACCAAAGCAGGGTCTCCCTTCCTGCAATAGTCCAATGGGTCCCTTGGAGGGAAAAATACCCAGGGTAGCCGGGGGCACACAGTAAGATATGTCTATTTCAAACGATAACCGACTAACTAAAATTTTCACTCAGGCAACGCCCGTAGCCTACAGCTCGGGAGTTGTGTAGAGACACAATGCGCATGTTGTATCGTATCACATGCGCAAGCGAGGTGCGCGCCGCTGGTTTTCCTTATCTTTGTTGGCAGTAGTAAGGCAGAGCCCCTATGATCCCCTTTTTTCGTCTTTGAATGCCATAAAAAGGCTGGCAACTGACTAACGTAAATCTTAAAAAAAAGGACGCCCTTAATTATAGCCTAACGGATGAGGGGACTTATTGGCTCGCCGGCATTCGCGCTGGGAGGGACTTATGTTGTCAGGTTGCACGGCATGAAAAAAAATGTCGATTAGACCTCAATGGATAGAATTTGTTTGAACAGTTAAACACACTTGGAAACTAACGCGTCTGTGCGACACGTGCGGGCTGATTTCTCTTGATTTCAGGTAGCAAGCTGCCCACAATACCTTGCAGAGTCCTCCCTTTTTTTAATGAAATTTTGTGAAAAGGGTCAGCCCCATCCCATTACCCGCAGCGTGACTGGACGAGGGAAAGGTAGTTGATTAATTCCGGTCGCACGATCGGTGTCCACTCTGGAAGGGCGTCAGTAATGGTGGAAGTATGGAGACGGACTGCACGTTACTTACTCATTTTTCCCCAATAATAGCCGGTACAGGACCCCGCAAAATCTACGGTATTACTTTTTATAGATTTGGTATCTATTGGAACAACTTGTCTATTTGGGTTGTGCATAAATAGGAAGAATGTTCATTTGTTACTGTAGCGCTTGCGTTGGGGCCCCACCAAAGGTGATGGCTTCCGGAGTGAGAGTGATCAAGTGCCTTCCGTCAACAGTCTCAGCCTTCACCATGGGAAAAGAACCTTATCATCGCGTGAACTACAAAATCTGTGGACAGTAAAGCGGGGGGATGTTTTTGCGATCCCTAAAGGATGCGTCAGCACTCATGTCTGAATGCATACACAGCCGTGAGAAATGAATGTTTGCCCATCACCATGTCAACCCTATACTTCAACACGAATCGTGACATCACTGGTTAAAGGGGGATTCCACTTGTCAACAGGGTTTTTGATTTTACAAAAGATTTGGGAGGACAGTTTGAAACGGTATGAGAGGCACCAACATTATTAAGCCTTGAAGCCCTTCCAGGTACAGGAGAATCACAGGTCGGAAAGCTGCGTGCGCATGCGCGATTGCCTGAATTCAGACACGTCACAAAAGTTAACGCTACCCAAACGGCCGGCTTTGGTTTTGTCCTCGGCTTCACAAGTTTCCACCCTTTGAAGGTGTGTTCAAAACGAGAGGTTCTGGATCAGCTTGAGGCTACATCTCCTTTTCGGTCAATTATCGTAGCTATAATGTTGGAAATAATTCCGTTTCGAACACGATGTCAACTGGGAGGAAACTATAAGCCGACGCCAGCCGTTTCGAAAACGCTCCAAGGTAGCCCGTTACACCTGAATGCCTATCCCACAACTGTCAACATTTTCTTTCCAGGGTACCTGCAGCTCCAGACGTCTTGCAGTGCCAACGACATAACTGAGTCATACTATATGTCGATGCACAGTCGTAGCAGGTGACAAAAACATGCGCTTGTGCTATCGCGGTCTTTGTCAAACTTCGCGCACCCGGTAAAGTCGGGCGCGACGACATGGTCCATTATTGTCGGTATTAGCAGTCCATTCACACCCACTACTATCTCGTCAATTTCGCCAGGCCACGGAGCTGCCGCCCAGGATATCTAACAAGGGGCTGTTCTATATTTATTCGGTAAAACCTGCCTGTGACCTATTAGCAATTGCATGATTAAAGTGTCCGTGCAATATTTTGTGAAGTAAACTCTCTACATCTTTTTTTTGGTGTTATTTAACCCAATTTTGGATTATTCAGACATGAACAAAATTCGCTGTCATCTTTCAACCTTGCGACTGCTCAAGCACAGAACGTCGCTCACATATTTTGCAAAACAGCCCGGAACTGGTGAAATGGTGACCTTTGAACAGCTCATTTGAAAAAAGTCTTTTGCTCCCGTCTGTGTAAATTTTTTGAAAAGTGTTAAAGGCAAGCACAATTTTCAGAAAACTTAACATTTGTATTGAAAATTTCCGTCTTCCAACAGATTAAGCAAAACTATAAGGCAAAAGCCCATGTGGTTTTCAACAGCTAGTTCAAATCAGATTTCAAAATCGTTCTGTGTCACAAAGTATATCTTCAATTAGATACACTGGTGGTGTTTTTAAAACTTTACTCGTGCCGTAATAGTAACAAAATGCAAATTCAAACTCTTGGCAAAGTAATATTTTATTTTTCGGGTAGTTAGACATGTCACCCCCCTAAAAAACAGACTATTATCAAAACACGATAGAGCCACTGGGCACAGACGCATTTGAATTAGTTGTCATGGCGGCGGTTAATAAGCCGTGTCTCCTGACCAATCCCAAGGTGGCGGTGTCGTGACGTCATCCATCAATCGTCCATTCACGGTGGATGTATTTAATTGGGACAGTGGGCCGGCCAGAAATAAGATGGTTCCTTTTGCCCACTGATAAATCACCTATGTATGTGTACTAATGTATTGCTCAGCCGTCATTCTCAACTTAAAAAGAGAAGGAAAACCCTTTACCATGCGTGATAAGACTCGAGGATGTGCGTATTAATAGTCGTGGATCTTTTTATAGCGTACCTCCTGACTTTGTAAATTTAAAATAGCACATCCTTGACTTTCATGAAGTTTAAGCACTCTATTAACGTGGCACATCTTGTAATCTTCAACCCCAAAAAGACTCCAACTACATATCATGATGTCATCAACCGTTTGTTTTGGCGCTACAAGATGAAACTCCTGACTTGACAATAGTAATGATCGGGAAGCTTTCCATGACTGATAACTACATCCCCAAACTCTATCGCCATTTGCTATTTTCAAACGGAAACTAGGCCTAAGTGTCACCGATTTCAATTTCTATATATCTCCAGTAAATCTTTTATGAAATAATAATTTCATGGGTTGGTTTGAGGCTCCAAACTGCAACCAGTGGATACGGATAAAGAGTCGATATTACCAGAGGCTGGTCTGTATATCCAAGTGTTTGGTTGAGGTTGATTGTACAAGTGTATATCCATGTCTGGTTCCCGGCGCTGACAACAAACGCTGCGCAGGTTTGTTTTGCCTTCTTACTAAACTGTGCTTGTGTGCCACCGTCAGATTGATTGCTTTGTCTTTATCTGTGATGTTTGTGCCTTCTGAGGCTATTGTTTTTAGTCACATTGTCTTTCTGGTATCCGGCGCATCCAGATCTGTCAGTCTAGCCTGGTTTGGGCCTGTTTATATAAGCCTTCCAAAGGTGTGTGCCTTTATACTAGGAAACGAAACTGCTCAGTATCCGATGCCCATTTCACCAGCTAATTGCGTGAACAGGTCGTCGGCACTGTTGTCATATACTGATGTCAAAGTTTCCGCGGGACATCTTTTAGGTCATGTCGGGATGGACATTTGTATTGTCTTCTATCATGGTCATTGCCGTTCACCATGACCCGCAAACATCAAAAACCGCAGGCGTAACAACCAAAAAAAAAAATACCACTGCTGATCTGCAAAGATTTGTGGGTAACTTAACGAAAAGTACAATGGGTTGCAAAAAACAGGTGGTAAAACAGTCAAACTGGTTCGTTAACCTTTTGATCATTCTGCAGAAATGCACGGTTCTAAAACTACGTGCATTTAGACTGCGAAAGATAGCCAATCGATGATTTAAAAAAGCGAGCCCAGTTGGAGTTCGTCTTTCAATAGTCACCCTCATTTTAAAGTCAAGCTTTTTCTTTCGGTGTTTTCTCGGGTAAGACATTATTTGGGTAACTGTTCCTCACTAATACATTATCAAGCATGTCAGTTGCCAGTTATGAGTGTTTTACAGTGATAAAACAGGTTTACACGGGCATATTTGTTATTTATTTGCATCCGAACTGTTGGTATTTGTCACATGAATTAAGCTGCACTTTTGATAAAACCACTATTAACTGAAGGAAAAGACTTCCATAATTGTTCGTTGGAAACAACTGTATTATCGGGTTATTACGGTTTCTTTTTATCTTCTGTTAGTACCCAAAGTTCTACTTACCAATACGGGCGATTCACAGTAGTGCGCCTCCAAGAGTTTGCAACGCATTGGCCAATCACAACGCGCGAAAGCTGTCGACCCTTTCCAAACGCGCATTGGGTAGACAGATTTCGCGCACTGTGATTGGCCGACGCGTTGCAAACTCTTAGAGGCGCACTATTATGAAACGACCGTATTCTATGTGTGCCTGACCAACATGGTACGTCCAGCTCTCTGCTTTGATTGACGAGGTGATTTTTAATGTTTTGTGGTTTACAGAAATCAATCCTTGTCCGGAAGCCGATAGCAAAGGGACGGAATTCGTGGTGGCGTTCATGGAGACTATGACCCCCTCAGCGGACCCTAGCCTGTACATCATCGGTGCCTCTGCTCGTTCTACCCGGGTCACCATTCAGTCTCCTGGCGGCTCGGACATCACCGTCTCCATCTCCCACGAGTCCCGCGTCAAGGTCGTGCGGGAGGAAGGGCCCAGCACGGCCGCCGTCCTGATCACGTCCGACCGCGAGGTGACGGTGTACGGCGTGGAGGAGGGTAACTCCATGGATTCCTTCCTGGTGTTACCCACCGACGCCCTGGGCACTGAATACTACGTGGTGTCTTACAGCATCTCGGACCGCCTTCAGAGGGACCAGAGGAAGTCCCAGTTCACGCTGTTGGGAGTGTCCGATGATACTGTGGTGGATATAACGCTGTCCGGGACTTTGGAGCACGAGGGCCAGCGGTACTGGAACGGAGATCGGATCAGAATCACGCTAAATCGACTACAGGTGGTGCATTTCGCTAGCGCGGACGACGACTTAACGAGCACGCGGATTGTCGCCAGCAAGAAGATTGGCGTGCTATCGGGCAGCAAATGCGCTGACGTGCCCGTCAACATGCGGTTTTGTGATCACTTAGTCGAGATGCTTCCCCCAGTTAAAAGCTGGGGCCGCTCCTTCATCACCTCGCCCCTGTACGGGCGAAGAAGTGGGGATGCATTCCGCATCATGGCCGCAAGGGATGACACCGCGGTTGCCGTGTCCTCCTACGGTAGGGCCACTCTGCACGCCGGCGAGTTCTTCGAACTGGAGATCATGTCCAATTCCAGCCGCAGCATCACGGCAGACAAACCGCTGCTAGTGATGCAGTATAGTCTCGGAGGTGACGCAGACCAGACCACGGGAGACCCGTTCATGATGCTGGTCCCGGCCATTGAGCAGTTCTCCAGTAACGCCGTGTTCTACACCATCGACTCCTCGTACTCCCCGCTGACCGACTACGCCAATGTGATCATCGAATGCCCGAACGTGAGGGGCCTGGAGCACAATCTGTTTGAACTGCCTCAGACATCCTTCAGCAGACTGGATCGGCTTCGGCACACGCTAGACGGCCGGGAATACTGCATGGCGCAGATGGTGCTGGCGCGCGGTGTGCACTTCCTCAGGCACTCTCAACCGGACGCTCGATTCGCTCTGACCCTGTACGGAGCGGGTGTCAACCAAGCTGCGATCGCCTACGGCATGCCCGCCGGGCTTCGGTTACCGGATCACGAATGTGAAGCAAGGGCTCCTGTGGATACATCTACCTCTACCATGCCAATTCCCGACACGCAGGCACCCACTTCTCAGTACCGAACCGCTGTCAAGAAACCGGGACAAAATATCTCACCGCTGCCTGGACCATCGGTGAACGGAACACCGGCTCGTTCGTCAGGGGAGTGCCTTACCTGGGTCATCGTTGTCACTCTTTTCTTGCTGGTAACCATATTATTTCTCGTTGTCTATATTTGCATTTTGAGGAGCCGAGTACGGAAGCTGGAGGCCGAGCGGAAAGTGTGCAGCCGTATGCAGCTCAGCCCCGTTGTTGTTGGAGCGGACGGATACATCGGCCTGGACGGTAGTCAGCACCCTGAGCGAGATTACATGACGCTGAACAATCCACAGGGGGTCTGGCGGCTCTGCCGGGTGCGGCGCACCGGTCGCTCGCCTGGAGGAGTCCCGTATATGGCCAACACTGCCATCAACACCAACTCCAACGGAATATCGCACATTTCCGAGCCCACCCTAGTGTCCAATAACCGGAATAGCCTGCATGGAGCTTCGGTCAGGAGAAAGGGCAGCGCCCCAGAGACCCTCAGCCGGACTATCAGCATGGACAGCAACCATGCACTCCGCTTCAGCCGACGGAACAGCGGCAACGACGCGTTGAGCGCGAGCAGTCGACACGGCAGCACCAGCACCAGGAACTCCCCTCCCTTACAGATCTGTGAAAATGTGCCAGAGAGACAGAACGGGACCTCTCCCGCTGCCGCCGAGGGCGGGAACCAGTCGACGCGGAAGCAAAGCTTCCAGGAGCTTCACGACATCGCCGAGTGTCCGGACAAGGAGCCTCCGCCCCGGACCAGTCATTTGGTGCGGAGCATCAGCCAGCCGTCCTACCAGACATCGCTCAAGGTAAACGCGCCCAAGGTCTACTATTCGGTGCCCAAGAACAACCGGGCTAGGAACCATTATGATCACCCCAGGAAGCGCTCCAGCAGCGTGGAGGAGCCCTGTCCGGTCATCTTCTCCATGAAGGAATCGCTACTGAAGCACGACGATGGGTACATGAGTATGAGAGACCACAGAACTTCTGTCTCCAGTCAGGGCAGCTCTAACATGTCCTTGAGCTCCAGCCCCGTTGCCTTACCTTCGCCCGACACTACATCGTACTCATTCGTGCCCGATGAGACCCCAAACACTGGTCCGGACACGGCAGAAACCGATTCAACAGACTATACAGAACTGTTTTAACTTGCGTTCAACAACTCTTGTGTCTTAAATTTTTTTTTCTAAGTAAAACTTGAGTCGTGAGGTCTTTTTATGACAGATGGACACCCGGTCACCCGTATTTTCATTTTCTTTTCAGTGCCTTGTCAAATTTGAACCGCACAGATGTACTTCAAACCAGATAGCTCATGTTCCCTACCTAACTTTACCGATATCGTGAATGTATGCCAGACAATGTTGTTTGCCCTGCCTTGAACAACAGTAAGTGAAGTAAATCAGTACAGACAAGCAGAGTCAAAGCGCTTTCTTATTGGCAAACACAGCCAAGCTCAACTCTCGCAAAGTCTCCAACGTGGTTCACAACGACACTGTGAACCGCCTTAGGTGTTACTTTGCGCGACCCATAGTTCACCGATTTTTTTTCTTTTCATAAACTGTTTGAGGTATCCTGACGAGGACTTACCACTGACACTGCAGTCCAGCTTAATTCATTCTCGAATCAGGCCAGTATATTCATAAGGGTGATGTAGTGGAAATCAAGTCTAAAAAGGAAGACAACGTCGTTTGATAAGTTGAACCTAAGGAGAATTTAATCATTTAGGCGTTACGGTGTGCTGCAAATTCCCCGTGTTTTCAAAGCGACGCAGACCACCTCAGACTCGAGTCTGAGATTGTAAGACACCTTACTGGCATGTCAGGCCACAGTGTCATAAAACGCTCCTATTGCTATATACTCTCGCAGGTTACCAAGCTAAGACAACTTGGTACACAGACTGGATCGCTTTTTGGATTGCTGCTGCTAACACTTTGAGAGAGTCGACCGGACCACTCAACCCTCGATAACTTATTGCAGATGCACTCATGCTGATCCCGACGATAAATTGACATGCAGTGGTCATCCGACCACTCCCTACTGCGCGTAGCCTGTGCATATAGGTATTACCGGAACCTTGTGGGTAATACCGGGGATGTGGGATATTCCGGATTTGCGTCTTTCCATTGGTTAACCAAAGCTTTCCCGCTCTTTTGCACTACCAATGGCGACGCAGCCTTCTTGCCACTTCTCGGTGAACTGGAGATAAGAAGACGATTATCTCGTAAGACAAACGGATTAAATAATTAGAATGACTAGTCTCTTTTCTAAATGCTTGTGTTTTGGGGAGGGTTCAGGGAAGTTTGTCATTAACCGATGACAAAGCATCCAAGGTAATTTGCACAAAACCTTCCCCCTTTCTCTGCTAGCAAGTCATCTAATACTCAGGTGTAATGAACAATGTGTTGTTCGTCGCAAGTAAATTTTAAAGGGGAGTTTCCTTCCCTTCAGCGTTCGAAACTAAAACTTCACGTGTGTTGTCCCGCAATATACACATTTCTGCAAGGCTACCGAGTACAATTCAAAACTGTTGAACCAAATTGTTAAACGGATGGGGCACATTCATTCGGGATAACCGCGTCCGCCTTACCAAGCTACGGCCGGACATACCGCACGCGTCAATTGACTTATCGCCGTTTTCGAGTTTGCCACGACCCTGTAGAATTTTGAGCTGTGTTTATTTTATCGGATTTTACACGTCCCACGCTAATTTATACATTTTGTAACAAGACAATATTTCACATGATATACGTTCACGCAATTCTACCGCCATAAGTCAATGGGAAATGCGTGATGTTGTCTATTGGCTTCCTCAGGCCTCCGTCTAACATCCCGCCGTAACCAAGTAATTTGGACACTGCCTGTTTTGTTTGCTCAACTAAGATATACCTGCACATACCAAAATGTCATTTTATGCACTGTCTGTTTTTGGACACTGCCTGTTTTGCTTGCTCAACTGAGATATACCTGCACATACCAAAATGTCATTTTATGCCTGAGAACAGATACCAGACCATATAAAGACTGGGCATAAGCTAGTATACATTTGAAAACAACTCTTCAGGGACCAGAGTTCCTTGGTGTAAACGTCAGATTCTGTGTAGTGCCTTAACAGTTTCTCTTCAGTCACGTGTGGTCCAGAACCCAGTTTTTCCCCCAAACACATCACGCCACGTATTTTGCATCTGAAATTGACCAGACCATGGGAATCGCTGGCAAGGCATAGAACACCAACGTGCCTGGACGGGCATGTACAGAGCTCTCTGTCCCCTATACACTGTAAAAACTCGGGTGTTAAAATCAACACTTTTGGTTGTTATCAGATGACCACACCATGTTACTTTAACACTGATAATGTTACTTTGCACACCTATAAGTGTTACAGTGCACTGGAGGATGTTACAAGTAACACCAAATAACACGAAAATTTTAACACCAGTGGAAAGTGTTGGTGTAGTCTTCTGATAACACCGCGGGTGTTAAATTTAACACCCCAGTTTTTGCAGTGAGAGATTTTTTTGTTAGGGGGACCTGGCCCTACGGAAATGCTACAGGTGAGAAACCGTCCCACGACGCACACACTCTGCAGTATGGCGAGTACACTTACCTGTGATCATCCGAGTGCATCCGGCGTGGCTGCTGCCATTATTAATTTATTTTTGTGTAAAGAACATTGATGTATATGCATATTTTGAAGTACTTCATATTGCAACTATGCAAAAGAAGGTTTTATTAATGAGTGCACAGTACATGTATTACCTATTTGTTTATAGAGTGAATAGAATATTATTCTCGGTTGCTTTAAAACAATATGAATGCTTCCACGCAGGACGTGGTGTGGAATGTTATCTTAATAGTACTGACGATAATTCAGTAACTTTTTTTTCTGTAGAACAAGAGAAGATAGTCTACGTAAATTCAAATTGTTTTGACAGTTTCAAACAGAAAGAATCGATGTTCATGTATGAAATAGAGTCATATGTTATGAAGTGATGCCCAGACGGTGAAACACAAAGTGTCTCCGACGCCAGTAACTGTAAAAGGAGCCACACGTGTGACCCTCATCTGAAACAAAACAGTGGTTGGTACCGCCAAAACGCACCCGGATTATAGGAAGCGATAACCTGCAGGGGCACAATGTGGAACGTTGGAAAGCGGTCATGTTGTTCCTGAGACACCGGTGGACCTTATTCATGAGTTGGCCACTGTTGCAATTGAAAGTGAGGCTATAACTGACATTGGAAGCATCAGTAGAAGCATGAAATGAAATTTCCTGTCGAATTAGTGCCTATCTATACTCTGATGAATAATTTCGTATTCATGATAAAATATACCTTAGTTTAACGCCCGATTTGAAAAAAGTTAAAGAGAGGCTTTGAACCCACCTTAATTCCACTATAGTCTGATTCCTTCAGATTCAACAGTTGGAAAACAGACTAGAGTAACAAAATCAAACTACCTTCCTCAGGAATAAGGTACACTGTGTCAACTTTTTGGTTGTACTTTTCACTTCACATTGGTTCCCATTTCACGACCCATCTCAAACTAACATTAATCATTCAGAGCATGCAGTGCTTAGGGAGAAAAACTCCAAGGTGCTTTCGAAATCTTTGCTTCATCTATGATTTTGGTTTCAGCTTCATCATTCCGTTCTCTAACTGGAAACCTCAGACTGACTTTGGTATGGATCCATTCTCGTACATAAACATCAAATCCTACTTAATTATCGTATCCAACGTTTTCAGTCCGTTCATTTGATTGAAGACTGGAGACTCTAAGACGTGGGGCGAACCTTGAGCGATATGAAAGCACACATGCTGCTTGCTTAGTGATATTGTGAGTAAGCCCACTCAACTTGTTCGTCTTCTCCCAGCTAAAGTTGTGAGGTTGCTTTTTTTTTACACCTTTGCTTGTGTTGACTGATGGGGATACAGCGGTCCTTAAATTTCTTGTACTTATGTCTGATTGAATATTTCAAGGTAATAAATGTATCATCCCGTGGTCAACACAAACACGTGGACGCGTAACCTTTAACAACCTCAAAATATCGCCTCACGCTAGTGATGGGCATGATCGGTTTGGATTTACTAATACACGTAGGCCTACACTGAAAATGGTGCACGAGCGTTAACACTTGGGGCAGTTGCAAATTGTTTCCTCATTGAAAAATATCCTTTGTCCTTTGTTAGCATTTCCACTGACGTCTGCGGTGACTGTCAGTATGCTTTCTTTCTCAAACAGGGTTGCAGACTTTACGTAAGCTATGCTAAGTTAAGTTTTTGCTGCTGAATATATTCCGTTTTATGTGAGAGCATGTATAGAAAACGGCCTTTGTATTTTTATATTTTGCGAAGATATATTAAAGCATATGATATCAACGTATGTAAAACTCCTTCCTGTTGTCATTTTAAGGTTCTAATGGCCCATTTGTGCGCAAATACGCTGTAACTGTTTGAGAAACTAGCGAGAGATAATGTTTCCTGTTTCCTTTTGGCTAGGCAATACATTCTTCAACTTCCGCTGTCGTCTTGATAATTATTGGTTCATTTCAGCAATAACAACAAAATAATTGCAACGAGTTCCTCGTTGTAATGGAGAGTGGCCTTTCCAGACAAGGGCAGATCCAGTGCCATTTGGGGGGGTGCTTGATGGGGGAAGCAAAACTGAGGGCCAAAATGTGAATATTTTTGTATAACCTTTTACGGCCTTTCGGAGGGATGACGCTACTCAGCGAAAGTGTGCTCCCTTTGGGGGGGGGTGGGCCATAGGCCCCACTTAGCTTGTCCTGTCATCGGATGTCTTGTTAATTACATGCACTCGAAAACTCCCATTTCCTGGTCGAAAGATGTCCCTTTCCCGGCTAAAATGGACGAGAAACGGGTCAGAAGGACCGAGAAGACGGTTAGTTTTTGACCTGGAGGAACAGTCAGGCCCAACGGGACACAGATTCCGATTAATCTGACTGGGCAGTTGTTAGAGTGTGTGCCTCCAGTGACTTCGGGGTTATTAATGCATTTTTTTTTCAACCAAAAAACTGCAACAAAAATGACAAGTTCTTGTGGAAAGTGAGAATCAACTCACAAAATATCTCTTGTAATTTTTTACGAGGGGAGTACACATGGTTTTGATCATGAAAAATATCCACAAACTGGAACATCACCAACTGTCATAACACACTTGCCGTTTAGTTCTGAAATATACGAATTCGGCCGTAAAGCGCCATAGAAGGCAAAACGGTGCATGGGTGAGGGTCCGAGTCCAAGTTGGCGATTTTGAACCCCCGCACCTATGGGGCCCCATCCTCTGTAATTGGGGGCATCTTGCTAGCCATTCTTCCTTGATGGCTTGTAAACAGCGACGCTCATTCCACGGCCGGCTGCAATCCTCACAGGACTGAAAAAAAGTGGGGGGGGGGAATGATTTCCAGGAGGATGTTTTCATTACGCGGGCCCTGCGCAGGGACAGCTGCAGACCGCTGGATATCCTCCCGGCCAGGAGTACAGGGATATGGCGGGAAACGTTTCTGCAACACACCCACATTCACGGTAGACCGGCTCAAATTGCTCTAGTGAATGCGTGACTCGACATGGTTTCAAGATTAGCGATCCACTCTCCCCCCTTTCATTCCATTATCTCTTCTTAAGTCCCTTCTGCGCCTTCACCCCCTCCCTTGCCTCATGTGCTGATGGCGTGCAACAAAACTTTGACTGACTCCCGATTTTACATCTTAAGTGCGGCCTGGAGGTCATTGATGCCACTCAAGACGGGAAGAATGCATTTCCCAATCGAGTCAATTGCTCTTTTTCTTTCTTTCTTTCATTCAATGGACAGCTGGCATCAAAATAACAAGCCGCCATCTTATCTTAATAAGCAGAGGAGAAAAGTCAGGGACCCTTTTGACGATAAGATGGAAATACATTTTTTTCCCTTTAAATAGAAAAAATATTTCGGTGCCTGTCCACGCAGAGGTGAAGTTTGGCAGGTTTCCCAGGCTTTCGCAGCCTCTCGCGGGTAATGAGCGCTCATAGTACGCCAACGATCTTTTACCCTGGATGTGTAATTATAGCACCGCTGAACTGATGAACCAACCGCTGAGCGTGGGGGAAGAGATTAAGCACTGTTGTTGAAAGTTTGTTGCAGAAAAAAAAAATAGATTATGATGATGTCGCTCAGATTTTCGTTAAGCGCCCGGGCGTGGCTTGATAAGTGTCACATCGCCCATTAGCCACGTTTGTCGACAAAATCATCGGTGTTGTCGGCAAGAAGGGACAAGGAGAAAGGAAGGGGGAGGTCACGTCAGTGTCAGGTCTGGGAATCAGAGCATCATCAATCTCGTGAAATTTGCCGACGGGCCGTCCCCACATTTCAAGCAGACACTCGTGATTAAGCAAAGCAGTTTTGAAGCTTAACATTTGACCAGTTTGTGATTTACGGTGTTTTGAAAGGGTCACGAAGAAAGAACTTGCATGGAATAATTTTGATTAAGTGCATGTTGGTTCCTTTCTTCAATTACCTGATGGGAAATTGCTGAGTGGATGCCGCCAACGGCACCCAATTCGTATTGGTTGGTAATTTTGTATGAACCGAAATTCTGTATGAAGTAGCGTTAAACACATTACATGCGTTGAATGACAGAAATGCTTTGCTCGTGCAAATGCAAGCTCGAAGGCCACTGGGACATTTTTAAAATAAGTTTTTAAAATTTGTACACCGGAAGCAAAGGTGCAATTAAACAAGTCCATCTCAGAAAGTCTTGACCTCTAAGACGGTTTGTAAATGATAACTCATGGCGCCTTATTTCTACGAGAAACGTCTGCATTACCTTGAGTAAGGCGCCAACAATGGATGCCAAACAAACATGTCGATCTAACTTATACGTCCGTGACAATTGTTAATGACAGTTTGCTTGCCCGTGGAGCGCCTTTTATAGGCTGTGTTGTACCGTTTGGACGGATCTAAAATTAAATTTGGTGGGGGGAGGGGTAGTTTTCTCTTTGGAGGACGGCCAATACACCAGAAATTTGAATTTAAAAAAGCGTTTATGACTTTACTGGAGGTACAACTTTTTACACGCTTTGGAAAGAAGGGAACTTAAATCGACAAAAATGCCTTTCTCTCAATTAAAATGAAATGGCTCATTCTTTAGTGGTTGGCCCCGCTGTGCCCCCTCGGTTCTGCCGGTGAGTGCCTCCTTCCTTGTCTAGCACACTTTAATCTCCCCTGGTTTGTTTCTGCGTATGTAGTGATTAAAAACATCGACTACAGTTTCGGCAATGAAGGAAATGTATCTGAGGAGTGCCCTGGGGGCAGGCGCAGTATCAGAGATATTTAAGTGGAAGCAT